TGGGAGCTCGGAGGCATTCAGTGCATGAGGGTAATTTCCTTCATATCCACCTTCAAAAGACGCAGAGAGCCACAGAGGGCTCTACGTCTTATTCCAGCTGGTTACGCTGTTCTTTGTTCTGCTGTCACATTCCTGATTTAAGTGTGAAATCACAACACGAAGACGACCTTCCACAGCTCTCACCGGGGCGGCACAATGTCGGTCAATTACCAAAGATGCTGCATTTAAAGGATTTTATCTTTTGGGGTCTGAATGACTAACAATAGATTTCTGTAGCCTGCAGTAGTGCTGTGGTACTCGAGACCACTTTCTGAAGGTCTCGGTCTCGCCCTGCTTGGTCCAGGTCTTTACTGGGCCTCGATCCTTAATGGTCTTGGTCTTGTATTGTGGTCTTAACTACAACACTAGCCTGCAGCAGTAAAACAGGGATCGCAACAGGTGATCAGTAGGAGTAAAAAAAAGAAGATAACAAAGGTAGTCTGGAAGATTTCCCAGTACTTGGTGATGGGATGGAAACTGACCATTTCTCACATTTACGAGCGGTGAAATAATTCACAGTCGATCCGTTCTGATGACCCACAAGCAGTTCAGGCCGACAGATCGATGGACGATAAAACGACATTGTGTACAATAAAAGTGGTGCTGCTAAATCCTTGTGCAGAGTCTCAGTGGAAAGAAGGCAGCTGCAAAACTCACAAAGAGATCGAGTTTCTCTTCAGCTGCACCACCAAAGATGACATAAACTAACTTATTGATGCAGCGACAGATCGCAGCCTTACTCTCTGTGCAGACTCTTTTTAGTCCAAGTCATAAATGATCATGTCTTCTTACGACCTCTGGTTTAGGATTCGAGCATTTAACCATACATGTTTATTTACTTTTTTATTCCTGATGCTAAATTCACTCCTTGAATAATCCAGAAACTTTGCAGCAATAACTCTGATCAGAACTCGATGGTACGTTCTGCAGACGTACGCATGTTTGGGTTTTGGTGTGCGACAGTTTGACAGCAGGGATCTGTTCAGTGTAGGTGCAGGATTCATGTGGACTCTGTAACGCCCGTTATTTAAGAATGCGAGCTGCACTCTTGCTGCCGTTTGAGTTCAATGCAGCTTTTAGCAGAGACACACCGCTGGTCAGATGATCTGTTGATGTGTTCAGTTTGTAGTTCTGCAGTAAACAAACAAAAGGTGGAAGTGCACGCGGAGCCGAGAGCTCGCATGCACGCCGAGATAAAAGGCTCCACTGCTAGCACCAAGCTAATTTTATCACACAAAAGGAGGCGGGAGGCAGCTGGAGGAGACAATGAGAGACTGTGACAGAGGTGTGGGGTGAAGGTGTGTGCGTGTGTGAGTGTGAGTGTGTGTGTTCAGCAGATTTAAAGCAGTTAGATATCCTCACTCACTGAGAGCAGGTGTTGAAGGTGTAGAATCTTTTTCTTTAAAATATCTAAATTAATAAAAAATGGACTAAACTAGTTATAGATATATTTTTTTGTTGAGTTCTTACATCACCTCAAATCATTCCAACAGTTATCAAAACCAGAGAAATCCGTAATTTTATTGTGGTAACGGGACGCTTCTTGTCCTGGTGGCCGCCATGACAAACCTGACATGTTCTCTCTGACTGCTGGCGGTGACATCAAACAGACTTTATCGTAGTCATGGAAACTAGAAAGCTGGCAGCATGACGTGCTACAGGTACAATTGACTGACATCACACGTCATGCGATGGGACTCATTTACATGTTGCTATGGTAACACGATAGATAGCGTTCGTTCCACCCTCGCAGTGAATCATTTGAAAATAAAAAGAACCTTTTTTCAGACTGCTTTGCCGTAACTAAGCTCAGCCGTCATCACGTCTTTGTACACTCGTATTGATTTCGCCATGATTTTTTTCTGTACGTTATCTTTCACTCGTGGTAGGAGGTCATGTACTCACGCTCGGCGGTCGTGATCGATCCTGTTGATCTTTCCTCCGATGAAGACGCGGATCTTGCAGTCCTTCCACCTCTTCTTATTGGTCAGCAGGTACGGGATGAGCAGGGTCAGACCTGGACCGGAGACAACATACAGAGTCTGTTATTTTAAAGTCACAGCTGGCTTCATCAGACTTCTTGTTGTTTAGACGAAACTGGAGGAGAGCTGCAGGTTTCTACCGGACCTGTAGGAGTCACTGCTGCACCGACCAAAACATGAACCCCTCTGCATCATTTGATATTTTACTCAAATCAAATCAAGTCTTAAAGTCCGATATCGTCACAGCCCGAGTCCAAAGGAGAGTTTGATAATATTACTTTTTATGCACAGAAAGGTTTGAAGGATAAACATTTCTTATATATTTCAGAATGTGTTCTGTCATCTATGGAGTTTCTGAAGGCTGGTTGTCATGGTAACACATATCAGTCAGATGGATCAACTGGAAAAAGGGCACACTTTAAAATCCACTTCTCCATGTTTCTCTTAACTCTAATATGTGTCTGTCTACAAACCCCCCAATGATGAGAAAAGTCCATCCTCTCCGTCTTTTGTCTGCTCCACTTTTCAGAAAATGTGTACTCAAACAGGCCGTTTGGAGATTTTCCCTTTATGACATCACAAAGGGCAGTAACCCCTCCCCCAGGTGGGTGACACTCCCACAGCTAGGTGTTTGTTCTGCCCTCTGAGTCTGCCTTCTCAGTTGTGATTCTACTTTAGATCACCTCTGAATGTTTCCGTCCTCAGCCGTGTGACCTGCTGCTACCTCTGAACCCTTTAATCCTTCTTGACCTACTTGCAGTAAATTGCTCGCTCCGCATCATTAGCTGCTGCTTGCTGATAAACGTAATCAGTGTTACAGACTCGTCCTTCTCCACATCAGTCCCTCTTTTTTTTTCCACCTCTTACATCAACCCCATCATCATTTTTATACACTCTTATTTAACCCATAACTCTCCGCTTCTGAGACGAGGTTGTGCATGAGAGAAGGTGAGAGTGAGATCCCAGACTATATTATAAAAAAGATCTTAAAAGGTCACATATCCTCCTCTTCATCAGTTTAAATAAGTCTCAGAGCTCCTCAAAACATGTGTGTGAAGTTTCTTGTTCTAAATCCACTCTGATCCTGTATTTGATCATGTCTATAAACCCCTCTATTTCAGCCCTGCTCAGAACAGGCTGTTTCTGTGTCTGTACCTTTAAATATGTAAATGAGCGGTGTATGACCACGCCCCCTCTCTGGAAGGACTTGGGTGTACTCTGGCTTTCTCGCTCCATGTCCTATTGTTTACGGTGAGAAGGCAGACTCAGAGGGCAGAACAAACACCTAGCTGTGGGAGTGTAACCCACCTGGAGGGAGGGGCTACTGCCCTTTGTGATGTCATGAAAGGTAAATCTCCAAACGGCCTGTTTGAGCACACATTTCTGAAAAGTGGAGCAGGCAAAAGACGGAGAGGATGGACTTTTCTCATGATTGGGGGGTTTGTAGACAGACTAGAGACATATATTAGTGTTAGAGAAACATGGAGAAGTGGATTTAGAATAATATGTGACCTTTAATAACATTATCTACTTTTTTGTACCCCTGTGATGTGTGTGACTCGTCACAGCCCCAACACCACAAGTTCATACTTATTCTGTGGGAAACACCAATCATCTAACATTTATAAAAGATGAAGGCTGTCAAAGAAGCTGATTATTACAGAATCTGCTGCTTCCAAACAGGAACATAGCTCCAGAAAAAATCAGCTCCGAGCATCAGTTTAGGACTAATTAAGAGGTGAGAAGTGTGTGTGTGGCCAGCAGTGAAGAGGCTGACATGATGATGACGATGAAGATGTGGAGTGTCACATGTGATAGCGTCTCTCACACATGAGTCACACCCGTGGCCTGCTCCACATGTCGACAGCCTGCTGAGATCCTGACAGACTCGACGCACACTGACTCACTCAAACATACTGAGCGTGTCAGAAACACACACAGCTTTTGTTTTCTCTGGGATTGTAATCAGTTATGTTTAAGACTGTCGAGCCTGTCAGCTCCTCTGATAAAGACGTCACTGATTGTTCTCACAGCAGCACGGGGGGATCAAACGTTTCTCTTTAACATCAATACATTAAAAGGATTAAAGATCTCCTTTTATTAAAGCCTCCTGAGACCCAGAAGAATCAAAGCCTGAAGGATGAAAAACAATGTTTGTGGATGTGACTGTAGTGGATAGCGGGATGTTTCAGACTCATCTGCAGCACCAACTTGAACACTGATGGAGAACAGTCTAAATGTAAAGTGAGTTCACTTGATGGAAGGACGCTGACAGTTTCACACTTCTAATGTTTTAGTAACGCTTAGCAGAGACACTTTATACCATCAGTAAACACAGTTTCCTACACGGCTGTAGTTAGCACGGCCCTAGTTACCTAGGGCTGGTCAAAAATATCGATTCATCAATGCATTGCAATTACTATTTTCCCAATTCAAAATCAATTCAGGGAAATCCTGAGATTGATTTTTTTCCCCCGATGTAATGACACCCCCTCTCCACCGGGGGTGCTGTGGGTGCTGTGAATTCAGCTCAGGCACAAATGTGCACTTTAGATCTTACTGTATTTTCATGTTTTATTATTATTTAACAAATATCAGAGGGTATTGTGAAGAGTTATCTGGGTATTCCTGTCATCTGTATGTTTTATCAAATCAATATCAAAGCATATTGATCAATATCGAATTGAATCGTGACCCAAAGAATTGAAATCAAATTGAAGTGTGCGGTTGTGGACAATACCCAGCTCTACTTTTAGCACCTGTTTTTCATCTAAAAAGTTGGCTGCGTCCTACAGTACATACTGGTTTGACAAATAAACTAACTACTGTAACATGCTGACAAACGCGCCGTTATTACCGAAAGTGCAGCCGCAACCATCCCGACATGTTTGAAAATTCACCTCCAGCACAGAACTGGACAGTACTTTAGATCCCATATCTACAAAGAGGATTTCTATTATATCATATGTAGCAAAGAAATGCTTCCTGCTCAACTGGAACCAGCAGAGACCTCCAACTTTCAATCAGTTCAAACTACTTCTTAATGACACTTTACTACTGGAGCAGTGAACTTATAGCTTAAGAGGGAAAGGAGACATTGTCATGGCAATATGGAAGCCTTTTATGGACCTTTGACTACACACTGTAGACTCCGTCTAAAGGGATTTTCCTTATTCCTGCTTTTATTATGGTAACCTTTATATTTGATATTTTTGTCTGTTAAATGTAAAATGTTCAAAAACCAATAAATAAAACAATGGAAAAAATCCTGCATCTAATGAACACTCTGGCATATTGTTCAGTAAGTAAAGCTTGTGGAGCGCTGGACTGATTGAAAGACTTCTCAGCAGTGAGACCCGCAGGCTGTCGGTTCTTCAGAACTTTCTCTGCAGGCTGAGAGCTCGACTACCGTACTGTAGTGAGCAGGAGTGCAAACAGACGGTACTAAAAGAGTGACACAGCTGCATAGAAACTGCACGTTGTAGACTCTGCTGAGCAGGAAGACACTTTAAACCTTTCTTCTCTCAGAGAGACCGCCAAAAACAGACTGCGACTTATATTCTGTATTTTACTGTAAAAGTTTTGTCTCAATAACGCAGCACACTGTTTCCTCTGCTCCACTTTTACACTCCAAGTATTTTATGCAGAGTATCATATCATGAGGTCCTTAGTTCCCGCCTTACTCAATGACAGGATCTATTTCCTCATCCCAGCCTCACCTCCATCATCAAACAGCCACCAGACGTCCACGGTGCCTTTCCCCTGCTTCTTGGTGAACTGCTGGCTGGCCTCCAGCAGCCTCTGGTCGGACACGTTCAGAGGGATGGTCGGGCTCTTCTTGTCTGCAGGGATCAGCACCAAACACACACAAACACAAACAGGAAGCTGATTTAGATGGAAGGCGTCATAAAGCTGAGAGAACCGTTGTCTGTTAGAGAGAAGGACTCTGATTGGACAGAGACCGAACAGAGAAAGACCTGTGTGTGATCAAACATCATCACACAGTCGTAATAAAACAAGAAACACAAAGCTGTCAAACCTCAGAGATCGTTGTTTCCTCTGTTCATTTGTTTGTGGTTGTTGAAGTCGTGGATATTTTAAAGATACCTGACCTGAAGGTTTGAAATGTTCAATTAAAGGAGCAGTCCAAATTCTAAACATTGTAGAGAGCTGTCTTCTCCTGATGACCTGATAACTGCTCTCATATCTGGCAAACCGAGGGGTGTCCAAAACAGCCGTGTGGGGGTCACCTTAAAACCGCCTACCTTCTCTGGTCCAAACAAATCCAGAGCATTCAGGACCAGAATCTAAAGTTAGGAGGAGGACATACTGGCTGTCAAACCAGACGTAAAATAATGCTGTAACTGTAGAACGAAGTTGGTGGACTGATCAAGGTTGCTGATTTTGTTTCATCAATAGATTTTTGTTGGTAAAGTCTGATTGATTTGATTCATTTGGTCTTAATGAACAGGGGAAACATCATCAGTGCTGCTCAGACATCAAACAGGGAGAGAAGCTGTGAGAGGAGCAGGAGGAGTCAGCTGAAACATGAAAACAGGAGAGCGGTTTTCATCCTGGAAAAAAGAGGAAGAAGAAGCTGCAGACAAAGTGTCACCTCAGAGAGACAAGAAGCAGCAAAGAGACTCCAGAACACTTTGGAGGAAACTGCACCAACTCACGACAAGAAACAGTCCAGACTCGAGTTAAAGGCACAGTCACAGAGTTCAGAGAGTGGGGACGAGTTAGAGCTGGAGAGCAGGATGAGAGAGAGAGAGAGGGGGGAAGAGACTAAATGTTATTCTTCAAAGCCGGAAACACGAAGCAGACACCGAGCAGAGGCAGCAGGGAGCAGGACGGTGTGTTAATATGAGAGGAATTCAAAATATACTCTGAGATCAGGTGAGAGAGAGAGAGAGAGAGAGGTGAGAGAGGAGAGAGAGGAGAGAGAGGGAGGGAGAGAGAGAGAGAGAGGTGTGAGAGGAGAGAGAGGGAGGGAGAGAGAGAAAGAGGGGCAAACAAAGAGAGAGGTGAGAGAAGAGAGAGAGGAGAGAGGATGAGAGAGAGGACGAGAGAGAGAGAGAGAGGACGAGAGAGAGAGAGAGAGAGAGAGAGAGAGAGAGAAAGAGGGGCAAACAAAGAGAGAGAGGTGAGAGAGGAGAGAAAGAGAGAGAGAGAGGGACAAACAAAGAGAGAGAGGTGAGAGAGGAGAGAAAGAGAGAGAGAGAGGGACAAACAAAGAGAGAAAACCAAAGCAGAGGAAGGTTTAAGGCAACTCAATAAACGGGGTCTCCTGCCTTTTTTCAACAGGGGCTGAGTGGGAGCTTTGCCGTCATCGTCGTCATCTGAGAAACGTGAGGAGGAGGAGGAGAGAAAAAATAAAATGTGATTGAGTTAAAATGTTAATGAGATGAACCATCAACTGAAAACAGAGGGTCCTGGTCACGTAGCGAGATGAAGATTAGGAACACAACACGTCCAGTTAATCTAAATTAACGACTAATTCATTATTAATTAGTGTTTAAAGGAGAAGAGTCTGGTCACTCTCTGCGTTGTGAAGCGTTAATAAACACGTTTGATTACACGAGTCGATCACACTGAAGCTATTGACCATTTTTATTCTAAAAACAAAAAAAAAAAAATCACAACAAGTCCAACGATCATTTTTAATGATCAACTTCCTGTTTACATTTTAAACTTCCTGTGAGGAACTTTCAAATTAAAAGTTTCTGATCATCAACCATGAAGCGTTTGATCTCATTTAACAGCAAGTTCTCACAGAAACACACACACAGCACACACTGTGACCAAAGACATCTGTGGACTAAAACTGGGCGCAGTGGGAACACTGGGGTCACAGGTCACTGGGGTGACTTCCTGTCAGGGAAGCATGTGTTTGTGTTTCTGTGTTTGCGTTTCTGTGTGTGTGTGTGTGTGTGTCTGATTTTGTGCATACATAGGCATGTGTGTGTGTGTGTGTATGTGTGTGTTTGTGTGATTGTGTGTGTATGTGTGTAGAAGCAGCATAAAGGAAACTATTGATGGATTAACTCGGAGCTCTGAGAACGTGTTAAACTGATTTCCGGGATGAAAAGACTTTGTCTGTTCTGACCTGGAACTCGGTGAGTCACCTGAGTCAGATGTTTAATGTTCACTTTTTGGACAAACATGTAAATTCTTTAGATTTTTTACCCCTAAAAAGTGAATCCTTCTTGCACAGAAATGTAACTCGTGCAAAGGAAAAACTTCCACATCCGTTAATTTTGCGCCCTTATTAATGAGAAACTGACTCTAAATCAACCTGAGATGATCAATAATAATGATTCTGCTCCTTTACTGCAGAGTACACAGAGTCTGGGCCGCTCAGGAAACAACCAGCTGCTCTGATAACGGACTGAAAACAATCAAGAGGTGAGTCTGCAGAATGATTGTACATTCATGACGTGAATATTAATGAAACTGCATAGAAGCTCACAGTGTCTCTGCCCGGTCTGTTCTGCAGAATAACTGTGAATGTAAGAAGTTAACATTCACAGTGTGTGTGTGTGTGTGTGTGTGTGTGTGTGTGTGTGTGTGTGTGTGTGTGTGTGTGTGTGTGTGTGTGTGTGTGTGTGTGTGTGTGACCTTTCTGAATGGCCGGGCTGTTCTGCAGACTCGTGGCCTTGGAGGACGGTTTGGATGAATCAGCGTCAGAGTCTTTGCTGGTGTCTATGGACACGATCACATCCTTCATCCCCGAGGATTTCTCCTGAGAGGACAGCAGCTCGTCTGGGAGGAAGAGGGGAGAGGAGGGAGGAGGAGGGAGGGTGAGACAAAATATCAAGAAAACAAGAAACAGGAAGTGAAACAAATCCACACAGACACACTGGACGACCATAAAGTTCAGGGAATCACAAGAAACAGCATCAAAAAAGTTTCATCAAATATGAAACTTTAGTCCTCACTTCAACTCTTAAAAATCCTGAGTCCTACATTTCCCAAAATGCACTTCAATACTTGATGTAGGTAATTTTGACCGTTGCATCAAAACATGTCTGTACAATAAAAATCTTAAAAGTGTCACGATTAGCCTGTAAGATTCACACCTGCTGTCAGCCTGGCTTCAATCACATTCAGACTGAAGCCGAAACGTCACAGCGGCGTAAATATCGCGGCTTGAAACGGCGGTCTGAATACAGTTTCAGATTTAAGGAGAAGCGTTTTGATTTGAGAGATGTCAAGATACACAGTTTGACTCATGTGGCTGAGGAGTGAAAAAAATTATAATACAATACTCTTTATGTTTGTGGTCGAGCTAAAAAAAACGATCCGATCTGGGGTCACAGGTCACTGGGGCGACTTCCTGTCAGGGAAGCATGTGTTTGTGTTTCTGTGTCTGCCTCTGATTTTGTGCATACATAGGCGTGTGTGTGTATGTTTGTGTGTATATATGTGTGTGTGTTACCTTGTCCCTGGATATGAGACACATCCAGTCCCTCCTTCAGTCTGAGGATCACAGCACCAAACTGACTGTCGAAAGCATCACTGAGAGAGAAAAACACAAAAGAATAAAAAGATTCCGATCAAAGAGTACGTTGTGAAGTACACACACACGCACACGCACACGCACACACACACGCACACGCCTCTGCCGATGTAAATCAAAGGTCACATAGCGGAGCGTATTAACCGTGATTTTAATATTTGAACCGTCCCCGACCTTCAGCTCTAAAACTTTAATCCTCACACGTTACAACCAGGAACTCTCTCAGCTTAAACAATCACATGACTCCTTCAGGGTCCAGCAGGGAGGACAGATTACACACACACACACACACTTTAACGCTCTGTTACTACGAGTACATACAGAGTGTGTGTGGGATACTTTTACACTTCTTTAAACTGTTCGGTGTATGGATCTGTGTTTGTGAGTTTCTACACCCACATACACACTCACCGTGAGAATATAAATGAACCTCCACCCACAGGAGCGGAGTGATACAACCGACACTCAGACACTGAAAGTGATAATGATCCATCCGGCTAAAACTCACAGAGACGAGGAAGAAAAGGAAAAGAAGAAGGAGGAGGAGGAGGGTTAGACGATTATAAGGAAAGAGGAGGAGAATGAAGAAGAAAATTAAGATTGATGAGGAGTGAGGGAAGAAGGAGAAGAAAAATGCAGAAAACAAGAGGAGGAAGAAAATAGAGACTAAACAGAAGTGGGAAGAGGAGGAAAAATGATGTAAGAGTGGGAGAAGTACGGAAAGAGGATAGTTGAGGATAAGAAGTAGAAGACAAAGGAGCTGAACAGCCAATGAGAGTGACTCCTCTCACTAACCACGACGACACGACGCCGAACGACGCCAATTCAACATGTCAAATTGGCTGAAAAAAGGCCGACAGAGCCGGACACACCGCTCAAAAACAGAGAGGCAATCGCTCACCGACGGTCCAACTAGGACTGAAGGCAGAGGATCTCCTCGGTGTGTCAGGGCCTTAATGTGTTTTTAAAAAACAGGCCCAGTAAGTGTCCTCCTCTGCCCTGCTCCCCGCTGTCTGAAGGAGCATCTATGAAAAAAACATCCTCATTCACTATTCATGCACACACAGCTTTTGCAGGAGCGTCTGCCGGAGCGTCTGCACTGCTGAACCAAAGTGAAACCAGTCTGCAAAATCTGATTCAGGAAAATGTTTATTTTCTAAGATATGCAGCCATTTCAATAAGACAGGAGAGAGGGGGATGAAGTCAAAGAGGCCGGGATGGTTTGAGGAAGAGGATATTAATCAATGGAAAGAAAATTACCAAATATTTTTTATTATTAAAATACGGCTTTTATCATTGTTCATGAAATATGTTTAGGATTTGTTGGTTCCAGCTCCTCAAAGATGATGACTCTCTTCTTCTCTCTTTCATTTATGGTGGTAAATAAAGATACTTGTGGACTGTTGGTTTGACCATTTAAATCAGAATCTTCAGTTTCAGTAAGATCTTGAATATTTGACGTGTTTATATCATAAATAAATCGTATTTCTCAGAGGATCAGAGTAGTCAGTAGGCGGTCGTCTTCAGCTCACAGGATGATATGATTTCAGCTTCCTGAGTTCTTACTGCAGAGCGCTCGAGCACGTTCAGACATTTATATCATGTCCACAAATGTCAGAGGACTTGACCTTTTCGAGTCTAATTTACAGACAAGAAGAAGACAAACAGTGTCCACACAGAGAGAGATATTCAGTCTGACCTACAGTTTGACCAACACAGAGGTCGGACATGTTCATGTAATAAGCATGATTTAAGTTCTATCCTTCAGGACGGGGGGGTGACGGGACTTTTCATGTTTCATGTTCACGTGTAGTGTCATAGTGAACGACAATCAAGGCCACATCCATGTGTCATCTAACCCCGCCCCTTTTGCTCCAACCTCATGACATTGATCGTTATGATTGGTCGGGTACCACCGTATATCTGTCAGTCAAGTCACATGGCTCTGTAATCGCCTAATCTGACACGGTGACCATTGTGTAGTCTGAGCTCGGCATGACAGTAACAAGTCTTATAAACTCACTGGATCATGGTGATGTAGGTCTCCACGTTCATCATGTCTCCGTCCCTCCAGTCGTTTTTAAAACCCAGAACCAGAGTGTTCGGCTTCAGGCGACCCAGACCGGCAGCCTGCAGACGGAAAGAGACTTTAGTGACACTTAAAGGAGCAGTATGTAACTCTGACACCTAGTGTTTAATATGGGTACTGCAGTCCAAATTCGAAACATTGTAGAGAGCCTTCAACAAGTGTGGATTAATCCCCCGCTTTAAGAAGTCTCTGATAAATGTGCTTCTTCCTCCTGTTGGAGTTTCTCTTTCAAATGAAACTCCACAAACTCTGCTGTTGTTTTTTTTAATGATCTAAAACATCAGCAGGAGCCAAACAAATCATGATTTACAGACACACATGGCTGGTATGGGTTTTCTTTTATTGGATCTATGGGTAATAAAAAACGGAGCATGATGCCAGTGTTGTGTTTTAAATGAGCAGAGAATCGCTCTCCTGAGTTGGCTTCAGGAATCATTATTAATGTGTTTCTGTGCAGCCTAATGAGAACTTTTCTGCGATACTGATCCATAAAAAATAACAAGACTCTGATTTAAGACGACATTAGAAACTTTTAGGAGGACCTGGAACAGATTTTAAAAACCTTTACAGCCTTTTACTGAAACAAACAGAGCTGCTTTATTTCGCTGGGCAGTGGAACAATGTTTCCTGGGATTCATCTGCACCAGTAGGTGGCTCATGTAGCTTATTAAGAGTGATTTCCTCCATTACCTGCAGCAGATACTGTGTCCCCTGCCTCATGTCCTCAGCGTACACGGGCGTGTAGAAGGCCTTGTTCTCGCTCTTCAGGAGCCAGCGTTGATAGCGGGCCTGATCTGAGGCCAGCTCTTTGAAGTTCGGCCTCCTGTAGCCCTGCAGGACATAAAAACAACACAGACCATCAAACTCATTCTTACAGTGAAGGATTCAACCTGCACAGTTCTGCTGACTGGCTAGCCTAGAGTAAACACTCCTACAAAAAAATCTATATTTCCTGAAGAGAATAAAAAAATATGGAAAAAGGTAGCACTAATGAAGAACCTGCAAATGGAGAAAACACTCCGCTGCACTCGAGCACAGGTACAGGATGTGGAAGCTAACGTTAACCATCACTCAAGCGAGTTCCTTAAAAGTTTTGGAAGAGATACGGGGCTGTGCAAAGACACTAAACAACATTTAATCCAAGTTGAGCACAAAAAAGCCGAGGCAGGGACACAACATGAAAAGATGGAAGACGTGCAAAACGTGGAACAAGTTACAGGACTGGTGGTAAAAGTGTTGAAACATCCAAAAAAATTAAACAACTCGATCAAGAAAGGAGGACCTGACAGGAAAATAAATGGATATATAATGTTCCTGATGGAGCAGTTATGGTGGTTTTTGTGAAAACAAAAAAGCTGCTACCCAACATGTAGCTTGACATTGAGAGGTCACATGGCGCTCGCCCCCTGACACCTCAGAGAAGACAAACGGCGACAGTAATACGTCCCGCTCAGAGTCTTCCTCTCAGGGACAGACTGTTTATTCCTGCAGCAGAGAGCTCACAGAGCTGCTCCTCCATTGGGCGGGAATGTTTACACACTTTGGCGTCACTCGGTGCTAATGGGGGCGACAGAAAGACACAGGCTGCCATTTGAGGTCAGAGGCCACTCGTGGAGGTCGGCGTGTTCCACAGAGCTGAGTTCATCCAATCAAAACGGCCTCTCTATTGTGGAGCGTTACTGCCAGGCTGAAAGGCTTTTTAACACACAGAGTACACAAGAGTGGAACAAACGCATTACTCGTACCGCTGTGGTTCAACGACCTGCTTGATTCTGAGCTCCAAAGCTGCTCAGAGAGTTTCCTGGGCTCTATCGTTACAAACGTCCACAAAACTTTAAGTTTTTTCCCTTTGACTTTACCCCGGACTATTTCCTGCCAAACCCCCTGCTAAATTTAGTGCGTGACGTCGGGGTGAGCTGATGTGAGAACGCAGCAGGAAATACTAAAGAAGAGTCCCGCTGAGTGAGTGGGAGGGGGGGGATGACGTTAATATCCTGCAACCACCACACAACAACAGACTGTCTGCACGCCAACTCTACCATCTCCGTGCTCCAATGAACCTGCTGCATGTTTTCTGTTCTCCAGTTTCTTCTCCTCCACTCTTCAGTTCACATCATAAACATGTCAACCTACACGTAGCGCTGATGAAAAGGCAAACAACAACAGCGCAGCAACTTCTGCGCTGTTTTCACGTTGCCTCCTGAGAGCCCCCCCTCCATCTGTCCCACGGGGAAAGTCTCCCGCTGTGAGGGGCATGTGTGAACAAGCAAATAAGGAAGATTCAGGCAGCCTGCCTGATCATTTTCTAGACATTTTCAGGAGTGCACGTGTGAGAACGGCAGTGTGTTTATCTCAAGGTTGTTTTTTCTAAAGTATTTTTTTTTATGATTCTTTTGAATCTTTTCTTAACAATCAGGTGAAACATCTTCAGAGCTGCTCACTAAGAAAAAAGGACAAGAAGCTGAGAGGGGATCAAGAGGAGAAGAGGACCCCTTTGAGTGAAGGGTTTTGTTGCAGTGTAATTCTGCAGTGAATTAATGGTTTGTGTCCATGCAGCTCATTAACACCTCACTGAGCTCAAACTGGACTCTGTGCAACCTGAACCATCGACTCACTCCTCTGACAACAACTAACTGAGAGCTTAGTTTGGACTTTACAGATTTACACATAGCTGTGTAACTCCATCCAGGGGCCCGCTCAGAGAAGTTAAGCCTCTCGTTCAGCTCGCCTTCCGGTCGCTGCGGGGCGGGGAGACTGTGGAACACTTGAAGCACTGACACATATCGTAGGAGCGCAACAAGAGCCAAACATGAGAGCCGGAGGATCAGGGGGGAAAAAAACACAGAGAGGGAAGCGACAGGTTGTTTCAATACTTTCTGATAGGGCGTGTTTTTTAAAGCGAAACAATCTCTGTTCTTAGGATCGATAGTATCCCTAAGTACTCCAAAGACCCCGACAGATCCTCTGTGATATTTCTAACCAAAAGCTGCTGAGAGTGAAGAGAGGGAGAACTGTCCAAATCGCACAAATATGTTTCCAATGGAAAGCAGTTTTCCCCTCACATTTTCGTTGAATTAAAAACATGAATTATCCAATGCTGGGCGTCTTTTAATTTTTGTTCTACAGCGGGATTTGTTCTCACCATTCGAATGTGACCGCAGATCATCAGGCCCACGTTCTTGGTGAAGCTGTGGACCAGATCCAGGAGCGCCGGGCGAGAGTTGGGGTAACCGGTCATCACCAAACACTGGGGTCTGAAATCACACAAATATCAGCTGCACATTCAGACAGTTTAACATTTAGAGGATTACTGGATGTTACGGGCTCAGCATGACTTTCATGACGACCTCTTGTCTTCTTAGTAAAGGACACAGAAGAAGAAGAAAAACAGAACGGGAGCAGAGTAGCGCACATCAAAGCAAATATGTTAATCACCCTGGGATTAAAAAGGAGGTAGTGAGAGGAGAGCAGAAGGAGCTCAGAGGAACCCGGAGTCCCTCTCAAGACACCATCAGATGTCTTTAATCTCCTCGATGGTTCGCTGCCATGGAAACGTCCCAAGTCACGTCTGCACTAACATGTTCCTGAACACACCACCGCACTAAGTGCTACATGAGCTATATGAGCTACAAGAGGAAAACACGTGTAACATTGAAGATGTGCAAATAAAAGTAGCAACTGTAGTTCAATTTAAGAGCAATCATAATCGCCTGAAACTACAAACAATGCATTTAAACTTTAGTTTCTTCATCTTGGCTCGACAGTAAAAAAATGCAAGTTTGGCAACAGAGTCTCTTCTTCAGAGATCGGAAACTACTTCTTGTCCAACCATCAACAATGTAAAACAGAAAAAGATGCATCTTAAATGACATTTTAATATTTGTTGATGCGACTGCACCATCCATTGCTGCCTTTAATCGCGGTAGTCCGGTGTGATTCTCACATCGCTGTTGCTCACCACTCGTATTATAGGTCGCTTACTAATGGAGAATAAGGGTTAGGGTTATGTCTGATAAAAAAGTTGAAAATGGCGCTGGCGTTGTCAGCTCTTGGTCTTTTAGTGGTAAAAGAAGAGGCGAAGGAGACAAATAATGAGAAACCACACTAATGGATGAAAGCATGGATACTACAGCGACATGCTCAAGAGGCTTTCCTGAACCTGTGTCAGGGGCTGGAGAGAAATGAAACCTCCCAACAGCCAATCAGAGAGATTCCTCTCACCAACCACCAATCAGCCAAAAACCTCGACCTCCTTGGTGTGTGCCTTTAAGTCAGGTCCCTATTACCTGAGTCTGAGTCTATTCAGACTTCACTCAGAACTGAATAAATCATCAGGGTCTTACCAAGAATTAAACTAACAAAAACATAACAACAGTCTTTTTCATCGCCGTCTCCCGAGTCAGAATGCAGTTCAAGAGTTCAAGTCCGAGTCAAATTCTGAGTCACCAGTTTCTGAGTCGGACCCAGATCTGAGTCCTGTCCTTGTTCTACAACACCGGTTACATCACATGCTATTTTGAGAAGAAGTGAGTCAGTGGATGATGATTTAGCCCGCTGTAAGATGAGCTCATACAGTCAGCGTGGTATAAAATACAGTAAACAAGGGTCAAAGGTCGTCCTGGTTCAACTACAGCATGCGTCTTTGTGTTTTTATTACCTGAAGTTCTTGATGTGGTCCTCCACTCCGCTGAGTTGCAACGTGTGGGTCAGGGCCTGGTGGTAGGTCAGAGCCTGCGTGGACGAGCCCCAGTTCACATCTGGAGGAGAGGACACACACAGGGCAGAGGCACACGGAGCGGTGAGGTTCGAGTGTTTACAGGTCGGAGGGCAGCTCTGACCCCGTGGGGGGTCCAAGGCACCGAGGAGCTCTGGATGTGTGTGTAGCTGTGTGTCAAACTGAGTGTGCACGCAGGTGTGTGTTCAAAGCTGCGAGGACAGTTGTGTGTTTGAAGTGTGCAGGGATGTGAGCGAGGGGGGGATCAAATGCACCAAACTAATAGATTCACTTGATGGTGTTTGGTGACGAGAGGTCAACAACTTCACTCTGACTCAGATATATTTATCGTTCATTTTCTCAGATTTTACAAATGTTTCAAATCAGTTTAGACATTTTTCTTGAACTTACATGTGAGCAGGTTTCAGTGAAGTAAAATGCCTGAAACTAATCTAAAATTATTACATATTTAAGGGTCGAAATCCTATTAAAGGGATTGTTTTTTTTTTTAACAACTGAAAGGCTGTCCCATCCTGTCCTATCCTATCTTGTCCTCTCGCATCCTATAACGTCCCATCCCATCCCGTACCCTCCCATCCGTCCCCTCCCATCCTACCCTGTTCTCTCCTCTCCAATCCCATCCCTTCAACATCAGCGTGACTCACCTGGCTTCTTGTAGCTGACGTAGATGAACAGAGACAGAACGATGACGTTGGTGAGCAGAGCGGCCCACCAGTTGATGACGAACATCACCACGCAGCACAGGACAGCTCCGGCCAGAGAGACCCACATGTTGTAGTATTTGAAGCTGGGGCGCCATCCTGCAGCAGCGACCAGACTCAAAGTCAGTTTAACATTCACTGCACGGGGTCCATGATGTTTAAAATATTAATATTTATGATCGGCAGAGGGAATGCTCTCATCATGTTAAGGTCGAGTGAAGAGTCAGACCTGCAGTTTTAAAACATCTTAGCCAATAATCATCAGCCGTGACAGAGCATGGATCGAGAGGAGGTTAAAGAATGGGAGTTAGCTTCCTGTTAGCCTGAACACCAGAGGGTTACCTGTTTATGTACTGGGATCCACAGAGACTAGACTAGAGGGGTTTTAGTGATGGGACTGTGTGTGGTTACACAATGACAGAGTCTAACCACAGGACATGAAGGGTACATGACGCTGCTGCGGCACTCAGACCGGCTCTGAAGAGACCAGCACACTAGATCTATGGTTCATGGTTTGTTGTGTGTTTACAGCTGGTCTCTTCAGTCCTGGAGTCATGTACCATTTAGGTCCATGTAATTATTACAGAACGACCCGCAGGGAGGAGAGAGAGAATCTGTACCTGGAGTTCTGCAAGAGCTTTGGTATCGAGTGGAAAGAAGCACAAAACTCAAAATAAACCAGATGCATAACAACGACTGCAGACTAGAGGGTTAGTTCACTCAAATCACTGAGAACAGTTCAGATTGCATCACTAAAATACATCAATTTATTTCATTAAGTCTGCTTCCAACTCAAGTTAACGTGAATCAGAACCGTTAATATTCTGAATAATCACAAATCTGCTTAATTGAAGGGAATCTTTTCTAATTCCTTATCTAGTCAGAATAATGGGTCTCTAAATGTAGAATGTTATAGCATTTAAGGAAGTTTAAAGGTCACATATTTTGTAAAATCCTCTTCACCATGTTTCTCTAACTCTAACATGTGTCTCTAGTCTGTCTACAAACCCCCCAATGATGAGAAAAGTCCATCCTCTCCGTCTTTTGTCTGCTCCACTTTTCAGAAAATGTGTGCTCTAACAGGCCGTTTGGAGATTTTCCCTTCATGACATCACAAAGGGCAGTAAAAAGTCTCATCTTCACAGGAACTGCACGTTGCCAGTTTACACAAGATTGAGACTTTTTGCAATCTGGAACCCGATTTTTTTTTAAAGAAATCAAGTCAAAGTCAAAATCCAGGAAAAAAACGGATCGGAATATGCTGCTCGAACCATATCTAAAGACATTTCAATCATCGTCTCTGTGAACAGTAAATTATCACCGTCATGCTGTTGCATGCAGCACATTTCAGCTCCATATGGGCCGCCTGACAGGAGTCTTGTGAGCAGTTATTGTCCGCTCTAAGCTCTTTAAGGCACTCTGCTGCTCCGGACTCTTAAGTGCTTCAAGTAATTTCTCCTGAGTCCTCATCATTTCCCATCACCATCACCATTACGCTGCACAGGACTCGTGACACTGCGGCTCATGAGACGCTTCTCACTAAACAAGAGGATAAGATCCTCTGGGTCCGGCATGTTTTTACTTAAGAGTTTCTGCAGGGTCTGGGGTCTGGCTCTTACCTGGGGAGTTGGCCAGAGAGGCGTGGAACACGGAGAAGTTGATCAAAGCGTACGATGCCAAGAAGAAGTTGGAGATGATCGGGGCGATGATGTTCAGCTGGGCTGCAAAAAAGAAAAACAAGAAACATCAGTCGACTCAGAGCGGACCAAAAACTTCAACATGCAAGTCATTTTTCTGTCACAATGTGATAGACAAAAAGTTTTTTGAATCTTGATTGCAGGTCAATGTCCTTTGACCCTTTGACCCCCAGAGCTGGCTGATGATTTTATTTTCATTAAGTGAAAGAAGAGGAGTTTTATTCTCTACATTAATCTCCTAATAAAGAGTGGACAGTCTGCAGTCATACCGATGAGGATGAAGGCCAGAGCGATACCGAAGGTCAGGATGTAACCTCGGAGGGGCTCGTTGTTTTTGCCATAACCTTTGGCGAACATGCTCAGGCCGGGGTAGATGTTGTCCTTGCACAGAGCCTGTAGGAGGAAATGAATAACATATTAAGCTGCTCACACAAACACTAAGACGTTCAAAACTGAAAGTGGACGCTGTCGTCTCACCTGGAACACTTTGGGCGCACTGACGAGAGAGGCCAGAGCCGAGGACAGCGTGGCCGAGAAGATTCCAGCGGTGATGATCGGTCCGAAACCAGAAACCAGACTCATCACCTGAACGAGAGATCCGACCCGACGTTAACAACGCATCACTCCGAAATCTGAAAGACGATGTCTCTGAGTCGTCGCTTTACAAACCTGGAAGTCGTTTTGCAGTCCGAAGCGGCAGGTACCGTCACTCTTGCAGGCGGAGAAGTCGTAGCCCATCTTGTAGGCGGAATCCGTGTAGTTCATGAACTGAGAGCTGACCGTGTCGTTGGTGTTCCCGCTGGCGTCCCTCACGATGCACGAGCCTGAGGTGATGCACATTTTAACATTCTGTTTAAGGAATGTGACACACTTTAAAAAAAGAGCAGATTCCTTTAACCGTCTGACTCAAGGTTTGTTTTGCTGCACCTGTCGACACGGCGACTCCCAGGTAGACGATTCCTGTGATCACGATGGCGAGGAGGGTTCCTCTGGGGATGGCCAGCTGAGGGTCCTGCAACAAAAAACAACAAACACCTTTAATTCAACGTAGAACTACTTTAGATATAACTAATAAACTTCTTACAGCAGATTTATTGACAGGCTGACTGAGTGCTTTACAGAATAAAACTTAAGGAAGAATGTGCAACTTTTTGAGCCAGTAGATGTCGCCCTTGAGCTCCAGCATGAAACCAAAACAAACTTCCTGTTTGGTCACACCTCCTCCATGCTGAAGCCTCTGCTCTCCTCCAGAGACACACCTCCAACTCCTCTCCACTCATGCTCAAAAGAAAAAGATCTGAAAAAGAGCGAGCAGCGGACAAAACGTCCTCAGCTGGAGCTGCAATCACCTGTGTCCTGCATTGTTGTGTTAGCATGCTAATGTTAGCGCTCTTTAGTTAGCTCGTAGCTTCACATCGCATGTAAACTGACACAGAATGAGCGTGATCTAAAAACTCTTACTAACATCCAAATAATCAGTGAGTATGTTCTTCTTCTTCTCTCTAGTCCTTGACTAAAACAGCTTTTATACACAAGGTGAGGAGCCGGCCGTCCCGTCCATGTAAACACGGCTCTGACAACAACACAGCCAGCAGGACTCGAGCTTCTCACTCATTGTAGACAGTCATGACTCAGAGAGACTTTTACACAGGATAGACTGGATTTATGATATATGTATGTGTTGCACATTCTTCCTCTAAACAGTAACACACCAGGGATCATAAAACAGCAGGAGATAAAATAAAGCTCAAAAGATGAATCTATGTCTGAGGCTACGACAGCTCAGATACATATTTGTGGAGTTTAGGGACAAGTAGTGGCGCTGAATCCACTGATATTTGGGAAACGCCCAGGCACAGACTGGGTCAATAAATAAGTTGGCTTGTGCAGGAGTAGTGTGTTCATGTCTCCTGGTGTCTGTTAAAGTCCTGGCAGCAGCTCTCTGCACCAGCTGGAGTCCCTGAAGGGAGCTCTGACTGAGACCAGCAGAAAGTCTGATACAGTCGTCTGAGTGGGGACAAATACAAGCTGACAAACTGATGATGTAGAATTCAATCAGCTGGAACAAAACATGACTACATTTGGGGCAGTATTGGATTTAAATCATTGGAAATGGTGCAACACTGCAGCTCTTCAGCGGTTTCCTTATGTCCAACAACAGAGTTAGTCACTGAACGCATCACAAATTCTCCTGCACAGAAGAAACTTAAAAGGCATCACAGTGTTCATAGTTTCAGGGGACTCACAGCGAGATCTCCGGAAATGTTGGCTCCGGCCAGGATACCGGTGGCTGCAGGGAAGAAGATGGCAAAGACGGAGAAGAAGGTTTCCTGCCTGAAGTCTGGACCCATGTTTTCCCACATGATGTCAGCTGATGGAATAAGAAGATTTAAATGAACCAGTGCCGACAAAACACTGAATCCAAACGCTCTAACAGAAGCTTGTCATACCGTGGTAACCAAAGAAGCCCATCGATTTCTTGGACTCGATAGTGATGAAGGTACCGATGAAGTAGTTGATGATGGCTGTGATGAGGACAATCAGCAAGAAGATCTGGGCCTGCAGGGAACACATCAACAATTCATAACCGGTCTGCAGAACCCGGGAAGGTTGTACCCAAACGACCCCAGTGATGGTGCATCAGAGGCCAGACCCCTTCTTACCTTTGCCTCCCACTCCATTCCTGCCACAGAGATACCGAGGAGGAGGATCACGGTGATGGTGCCGATGATTCGGATGTCGTTGATTTCGTCCGTCATGATGGCGTCTACACCCTGAGGGAGAGATAAAGGAGTTGTTAAATAACACCAGTGACAGTTGTCCAAGTGAAATGTAGAATACCTAAAGCCTGGCTCCCACTGTGAGATTTTTCCCCGATTGTATAAAAGTCAGCTCACACTGTACGACTGAATTGTTTACGACGCCCGACCAGACCTTGAGATTTATGTGATCACACTGTACGACCCGTCAGACACGGCTGGAGAGGTCACACTGTACGAGTGAAATCGGGACGGAGCGGTTGTTAATAAAGTTTCATTTTGAAAAAAAGGACGGCGGTTGGTGAAAGAGAAGAAAGTGGAAGTTGTTGTAGGATATAGTAAAGTTAATACAATCGTAGATATATGGATACAAGTGCTGAACTGATGATCTGTACAGAAAACTAAAAAAAAAAACTTTGGGTTACGTCCTGCTGCTGGTCGCCATGACTACATTCCTCCCTTGTCTCTCGTTGTTATATTGTATTCACACACAACTTCTACCGGACCCTTTCAGGACAGCAACAAGGTTCAATACATGCTTGGGAATTGTGTTTTCTTGGTTTTGCATGAAATGAGCTTCCATGCTTTGTCTCTCCACACCGTCTCTGTTTGTGTGTGCCTGTGAGTCTATACTGTGGGCTGACTGTTCCTTTTGCATTCTTATTTGATATAAAGACAGAAGCTCTAGTGGCCGACTGTCGCTTCGTCCACCACTTTCAAGTCATTCTTTTTACATCCCTTCACGCCTTCTGAAAGAAAAAACCCTCCTCCCATCCCAGAAGATAATCTCCTGTGTGAGGTGCATGTGTGAACAAGCAGCTCAGGAATGTTTCAGGAGCAGCCGGCCTGAAATCTTCTAGAAATGCACATGTGAAAACGGCATTAGATAAAACAATTAGTGCAAAACTGAAATATAAATTGAGAGAATGCTCTTTCCTCTGAGCAGACTGTTGTAGTCTGTTTTCACAGAGAAAAGAGGAAACAGTAAGCACTCAGGCTGCAGGTTTACAAAGCGTCATTACGCCGTCTTGTCCACTCAGACAGTTTTATTACACGGCTCCTTCTAATGGAGAAAAACGTCAGATAAAAGGCTGCAAATTGCTCTGTTGTTGCCGGCTCTTTGTGTTTTTGTTTTTCTGTAGAAAATAGTTATTAATTATCTTTTCTACAAATGCTTTTCTCTCGTCCTGCTCTCAGTGACCTGAGTGACACACATGCACTCCAAAAGATAAGAATGTCAGGAGGGCGGCTCCTGAGGCGAGACGTTAAAGGCCGGATAAGGTCTGAGAGAAAAATGTGGCTTTTTGCGTACACACATGGAGCTCACCCTGAATTTTCAGGATTTTTGTGCAGGTGTTAACGCTCTAAAATAAATGGATAGGGTGCACATATACGATGTTGGTCAAAGTTATTTGTCGAAATTCGGTGTAGCAGGTGTCGTATTTCCATGAAAGATTGTCGGTCGTTCTTTGTAAAGGTCTAAAACACAAATCAGGATCCAGAGAGACTTACAGCAAGAAGCTCCACCACAGTCTCAGCGAAGCCGACCACGTACATGGCCACGGCGACCGCGTTGGCGAAGGCGAAGATGAGACCGATGGCGCCGCCAAACTCCGGACCCAGACTCCTGGAGATCAGGTAATACGCTCCACCTGGACAGAGAAGGGAGCAGACAGGCTGTTAGTCAATGTGAAGTGAAGTTCATTCTTTCAACCCTGTGTCTGGACGACCTTTAAATATGCATCCATGGGGCGCTGGTGGCGCAGTGGTGAGTGCGCGCGCCCCATGTACGGAGGCTGTGGTCCTCAAAGCGGGCGGCCCAGGTTCAAATCCAGCCTGTGGCTCCTTTTCCCGCATGTCATTCCCCTCTCTCTCTCTCTCCCTGATTTCCAACTCTATCCACTGTCGTGTCTCTCCAATAAAGGCACAAAAAATCTTTAAAATATGCATCCATGTTGATTCCACGATGGCGTTATAGTGGTGTCCCAGTCTGTGAGGTCACATTGCATTTCGCTGTTGCAGAAGAACAGCAGAAAGGGGGCTTCACACACACACACAGACACACAGCGCTGTTCTCCCCCTGCTGGCTCCTCTGAAACCGTCTCCCCTCCGTCACTACGTCTGAAGACGGTTCAGAGGGGGGATCACTTCGCCCCCCTTTTATACCACTAGAGTCGTTGTGTGAAATCTAAATGTTTTCCTGATCCTTGTCAAGTTTTTTTGGCCTTTGAAATGTAACAAAAAAGGGGCGCAGATAGTCTAGTGGTTATGCTAGCCTCATGCACGGAGGCTATAGTCCTCCAGGCGGGCTGTCCGGGTTCAAGTCCGACTGGCGGCTCTTTTCCCGCATGTCATTCCCCATTCTCTCTCTGACTCTAACCGCTGTCCTGTCTAAATTAAGCCCCAAAAAAAATAAAAAATGAAAAAAGATGACAGCCTGATTCGACTTTGCTTGCATCCAAACATAATTTTTTTTTGGGTGTAGCAAAAAGAAAACACCCACAATGCTTAGATGTTACCAGCCTAGAAATCGACCTCCACGTCTAATATAAGAGCAGAGGATCCAGAGAGTTATAGATTTTAAGATATAAACGGACACAGAACTCCTCTGAGCTGAAGCAGACGGACTGAAAAACAAAACTGTGTCTGTTTTTTATTCTCATGTCAGCGATGTATTCTTTGTTTTATCGTCTTCAAAAGGTAAATGTTTGTTTTGAGAACACGCTTAAGTAGCTCTTTGGCCGAGTGGAGCTCAAGCTTCTTCTTCTAGTGAGCCTGGTAATGACGAGGTCTGTGATAAAAACAAACAGAGCTGCTGTGTGTAAACAAGTTTTTAAGACACTAAAACTAACATCATAATAACACCACTGTGCAAGACTTCCATCCAGTTTGATCAAAACAGCAGGAAGTAGAGCTGCTAATGCTAATATGATGACATCATCATCACACAAACACAGCTCGCTCTCTCTCTCTCTCGTTGTATTTAACATGTTCACCGAGTCACAAAGATGCAGGAGTCCAGCAGGAAACAGAGACTTGGCAGCAAAAGTGATTGTGACATCATGCTCTGCGTTAGCCAATCGGATGCATGCAAGCCGAAATTCCTGCTGGATTACGAGGAAACTATAAAGTGTAATTCAATAAGAGGATTTGTTTCGACGCCAGGAAACTCGTAGAAGCTCAGAGATGTGTAACTCAGTCAGAGCAGACTTTCTGGGTTTCTTGGAGTCACCTGGAACGTCCTGTACTCAACGTTTTTGTATTAGAAAAGCAGTTTGTTTGTACACTGGTTTTCTCCCGTCAGGTTTCTTCATGATCATGAACTTGACTAACCCAAACATTTTACAGAAGAGATGTGCTCCAGGATTATCTGCGTTATGAGGCGAGTCTTTGTGTCAACGTCGACTTTAAATGTATTTAGAGGAGACAGATCCTTCAGGGTCATAAACACCTGCAGCTCAGTGATGTGACGGAGTTACAGTCCGGGAAGAACTACAGCTCCTAGTCTCCTCCAAAGTCTGGAAGGACTTGGGTGTCTCGGGCTTTCTCGCTCCATGTCCTATTGTTTACGGTGAGAAGGCAGACTCAGAGGGCAGAACAAACACCTAGCTGTGGGAGTGACACCCACCTGAGGGAGGGGTTACTGCCCTTTGTGATGTCATGAAGGGAAAATCTCCAAACGGCCTGTTTGAGCACACATTTTCTGAAAAGTGGAGGAGGCAAAAGATGGAGAGGATGGACTTTTCTCATCATTGGGGGGTTTGTAGACTAGAGACACATATTAGTGTTAGAGAACATGGAGAAGAGGATTTAGAATAATATGTATGCTGCTACTTTAATGTTGGCGTCTATGGTTAATACGTCAAATTAGTGAAGTTAAAAACATCTAAACATGGCGCATTGGTGACGCAGTGGTTAGTGCGCTCGTCCCATGTATGGAGGCTGTGGTCCTCCAAGCGGACGGCCCAGGTTCAAATCCGACCTGAGGCTCCTGTCCTGCATGTCATTCCCCATCCACTCTCTCCCCCCCCCATTTCTGACTCTATCCACTGTCCTATCCCTCAAATTACTCTTTAAAAAAACATCTGAACTGTCCCGTGGCCGTCTGCAGATGTCTCTTATTAACCAATCATCTTATCAAACACCAAACCATCGGTACTACGAACTTAAATCTCCCTCAGAGAGTCGGAAAAGTTCAGAAGAAAATGTTGGATTTTAATATTATTTCCCCCCGACATGATTTAATCTTTATTGACCTCATTAGCAGCTTTAATCCGGTGACGGAGGAATGTGTTCATATCCGTGTCAGACCACCCACTCTGAGCCAACAACGCCTCCACGCTGCAATCTGATTGGATTTCAGCTCTGACCGAGGCGCTGTGTGTATAACCCCTCTTTCATCTGACTCTGAACACAACGACACACACGGCGGCAGACGAGTGACAGCTGCTCACGCTGTTACAAACACACATGTGGATCTCCTTGTTTCACGGCGATCAGCTGGACGGAGAGGTCGACTGTTACGCTGCTCTACGGGGGGGGTGTAAAGAAAAGTGACGTGTACCTCCTCGTACGAATCCGTTGGTGGCGATGGCGGACGTGGAGAGGCCGGTGATTGTTGTCACCACAGTAGCCATGGCGACGATCAAACAGGAGAGAGCTGCGGAGAAAGAGAAACACAGTTGAACCTTTGAAAAGCTGAGGAGAATGTGAAGCTCTGTTAACAGTTTTGTAACAGCTCCTCTGATCGCTCCGTGAAAAGTAACATCAGAGTGTCACTGTGTGCCGATATTTCACATCAAAGTGCACAATTATCAACAAGTACAGGGGGGGGGGGGGGGTCAGAGGGGAGGGAGAAAATAACTGACACAGACCGACGAACACAGAGTCGGAGCCGACCACACAGGGAGACACAAATGTAAATAAATATGTGCCGCGTGCCTCACAGCTCGCTAACTTCTCAACAGGCTGAGATCAGATCTGTGCCGGAACATGGAAGAGGAAGTCTGGGACGTGCAAACAGATTAAAATGTCTCCAGTCGATTTGTTCATCCTGCACAGTCACAGGTGGGTTGATGTAATACTTCAAAATGAACCTGTCATTGTTGTTTCCTGTGATGTTCCTCATTTTGACCCACCTCTGTAGAAACTAAAGTTACTCAACATTAAAAAAAAGGAACAAAAGGCGTCACAACAAGGGTGTTGTGGGCGTTTAAAGGGCGTCCCTTTCCTGTGAAGAAACTCTTCTCACATCTTTACCGACAAAGAACTTGTTTTTTTTTTTAAATCAAAGGTTCAGTTCTGCTCACCGATTCCAGCCTGACCAACGATCCAGGACATGCGGATGAAGAGCATCACACCCCAGATGTTCAGCATGCAGCGGACCTGCAGAGACCAGGGGATGTTAGTGAGGCGGCGTTTAAAGAATCATCTCTAATAACACTCGAATTTAGAAAGAGACACGATTTAGTGATGAACAGCAAAAACAAAAGCATAACAGAACAAAAAAACAGATTTTTAAACGTTTATAAGATCCCTAACCTGTCCTAACTTTCCATCTACCAGAAGGGCCTTACTGTATTTCAAAATAAAAGCAGGGTTGAATTCAAACAGGTAGTGAAGTACCTTTAGCTTAAGATAATAAAACCCCAGCAAGAGAACTGGTTCATAAAGAACTCATTCACACACGGCCGTTTTGGACGCACCTCGGATATGAGAGCGGTTATCAGGTCCAACCAACAGGTGTTGCAGCGATGGAAGCGGGTAAGAGAACACAACTTTTCATTGTGTTGGTTTAACGCTCTAACCTCCCCTCTGAGCAGAATCAGCAGGCATTACGTTTTTTAGTTACAGGGAGTTTATTTCTGTTTCCCTCTTAGCTCCAGAGGTGCAGCGTCATCAGATCCGGACTGCTGTCTCTCTCTCTCTGCAGGATCAACCCGCCTATAAAGAGCTTTTTAAAAACCCTGAGACTCCTCTGATGTTTATATCGGCAAGGACACGGGGATGTCTCCCGTCTAAATACGGCAGTGTGATTCTATCCAGACACTTTTTAAACTTGAACGATTCACCTGACTTTTAGACGTTTCAAATACAGTTCAGCATGAAGCGGTGGTTTCTTCTTCTGTGGTTTTTTTTTTTTAACGAGCAGCTTCTAACTCAACCTGCAGTAATTCACACTTTGACTTTACAATCCTGAACACAGTGTGAGCTGCTCACACGTACAGGTGAGATCATAGAGGAACACTTCTCACCTGAGCGCCACTTTAATCAGACGGACCGAACGCGAGCGAGAATATTAAAACTGAAGGATCAATGCAGCCGTCACATTCAGTGATTTTAAATATTAAGAATGTTCTCTATGTGAGGTTCATTGAAGTTTTCTTATCTTAGAAATAGTTTTTTAATATTACAAACATGCAGAGGCTTTTATGTCGGGTACAATCACAAGTGAAATCAGAACCACAGTTTTCGACTCACCAGGACTCCTTTAATCCATCCGAACTTAACCACTCCTTTAGACTCGGCTGCTTCTTTTGCTGCAGCCTCTTCAGCCGGCGTCAGCTCGTCGCCGTTCGCAAAACCATCCTCAAACGGCTCCTTTAAAAAACACAATAAATAAAGTCATGTTAATATGATGTCATGAGGAACAGAGACACAGCAGAGTTTCAAATGATGGCGTTCAGCACCACTTGTCATGCAAACAATCACCAAAGCATGGCTCTGTTTTTCATCACAATGCCACTTATGAAAAGTAATTCTCTGGGGCTCCGGTGGCCTAGTGGTAACTGCATGTGCACCATGTACAGACGCTGTAGACCTCCACATGGGAGGCCTGGGTTTGAATCCAACCTGTGGCTTCTTTCTCACATGTCATTCCCCGCCCTCTCAGAGAAAAGTTGGGACATAAACGTTTGATTCATTCTGAGAGATAAATGCTGCTTCAGTGCGTCCGTTTGAAGGCTACAGGGCTTGAAACTGTTGGCAGAATAAAGACGACTCTGTCATGTTCAAATATAAATAAATAGACAGACTTGTGATCTGCAGGCTCCTTTCATTAACAGCACAATCAAACAACATGCAGAGACTCTGAGATGTAAATGTGTTTTTTTCTCTTTAAATCAGTCGGACACACTGTCAGCATGTGTGTGTGTGCGTGTGTGTGTGTGCGCACTGCAGCTACACACAGGAAGCCTCCTCCTGTGCGCACACAATGTGTGTGACGTTGTCGTCGTCCCTGTTGGACTCTTTGGAGAACACGGCTCATTGTCCTGACTGCATTTATAGTTCTGATAATGACCTCCAGACCCGCACAGGACGTCTGCACAACAACAGAAGCGGGTGCCGACTTCCTTTAAAAAAAACGAGATGACCCTCGATTTTACAGGACTTTATATGACTAAACACACATCCTACGGGGACAAAGAACCCCCCCCCCTGCTGATTTAAAGAGACTGAAGGGATAACCAGATCGTTTAAACCTACACGTGCGTGCATCCTTCAGACACAGAGTGGAAAAGTACAGAAGCCCTAAGAGGACATGCATAAATATAAATCTTATTTTACTTTGTCTTGACCTTGAAATTACAGCACTGGATCTGAATCAGACTTTTTCATACTGAGACCGTTTCCTGTGAGTATGGACGACCTTCAGATTAATGGATCTGCGTTGCTGGTTGCACAGCAGTGACAGGATGTGCACTGTTACAGTCCTGGACCAGCTCATTGATCAGCATAGTGTGTGCATGAACCCCCCCCCCCCGCCCCCGCCCTCAGGCTTGACTGAGGATGAGGACACTAACGTCTACATCATCTGCAGGATTCCTGCCTGTGCTCAGTCATCATTTTTCGTCGTGCATGTTCAGAGGAAACTAACCAGGACTGAATCACATCACAAAGACTTATTGTGCCGTTTTAATCATGAATGTATCAGAGATAACAAACACTTCAGAAGTTAAGATGGTACACAGGAAGCAAACTGTTTGAAATCTTCACCCTGAGCCGTGACTCAGAAATACACAAGCCTGACATTTCCAGCTCTCGGGCAGATCTCCAGCAGGAAGAGAAATTTTGATAACTAAAACAATCTGTATTTTATTATAAACTATCAGCTGCAGAGAAAACAGGCTCTTATTGGAGAGCATTGCAGGTTGTAAAGCTTCTTAAGAGGGACAGTCAAGTATTTCAACCCAAAAATATTCCAGGTGTTGAAGCTGCAATCGTCACATTTGAGGTGTCATGCAATGGGCTTCATGGTCTTTTCTACTTCCCTTATTTTTGATGGTCAAACATCAGTTTGTACAGGTGGTCATGACTCATATGTATGCATGTCTGTTTATGTTGATTCTTTGTTTTTATGATTATAAGCTCCAGTCTGTAAAGGCATCAGAGACGTACACACGCACGCACGCACGCTAAATATCAGTAGTTTTTCCAGGAGTTTTCTGCAGGTGTGTAAGCGTTGTAAATGTGTGCAGCACTGCAGTGTAGAGTATCTAAACTGTTTTAATGAAAAAGAGAAACTGTAGCAGAGGAATCAATAGAGCGTAAATGATCTGAATATATTCCATATGACTCGTTACTCTCCTTCAGTGTCTCAATCAGTGAAGCGCCTTCATCTTTCCCTGTCTTCAGTATCAAACCAACATGGCCGCTCATGGATGGATTTAAAGATTGATGTCGAGATAAAGAAAGTAAACGTGAAAGACTACGCTCCGCTTCGCTCCGTCGGACGGCTTCATCAGTGTTATAAATTATCCACGATCGCCCGCTCTCTGACATGAACACAGGCGAGTTACAGGAGGGGGGGTGGAGGGAGCAATCACTCGGCTTCACTTCACCTGGGCCATCTGTCACCAAGAGGCGGCTGCATGTGTCCCCGCAATGACTCAGCAGCACTGCAGCCATCAGACCACCACAGAGCGGGCGAGGGCGAGAGAGAGAGAGAGAGAGAGAGAGAGAGAGAGCGAGAGAGAGAGAGAGAGAGAGAGAGAGAGAGACAAGATGCTCGAGAAACACAGAGGGAGAGAAATGATGTAAAACACTGCAACCTTCTTATCCTTGTAAAACGCTAAATAAGCAAGAAGTGGAGAGGTTGCACACCTTGTAGCGGCTCAAAGCACCAATCAGGTGTGAGCTTCCAAACAATGTGACGGGGAAATCTGCCTGCAGAGCTCACTGACATGAAAACAGATGTTCCCTTGAAACATCATCGAGGAAAAGACTCTGAATCTTCAAATATTTTGTCGACACTTCTTAGCAGGAATCTTTAGAAGTTGCTTCAGTCAGAGGATGTGTTCGGAGGGAACGTCTGTTTTTTATAACAGCGTGCGTTCATCTGTATGCAGGCCGACATAAAGCTCGAGTCTGATGCTAAAAAAGAAAAATCGAAGGACAACCTCTCCAACATGTCAAAGAAAGACAGAAATAAGCCGTCAGCTATACAAAGTGAAATGCTGCCATCGTCTGCACCGGCAGAAAGACATTTTCTGCTCACGCTCAGGGAGATTCTTTGGCTTCCTTCTAGGAAATAATATTGAGATCAGGTCCAGATTTTGGAATCAGAATCAGGTTTTATTGCCAAGTACATTTACACAGACAAGGAATTTGACTTGGTGTTTTGGTGCTAAACAATTAACAACTTAAATAATACAATATAAGAAGCTATTACAATATATAAATTGATTTTAAAAATGTAAAATATAAAATATAAAAAATAGAATTAAAAAAATATAGAAAAGGTGCAATGTAGGAGCTGTACAGTGAACTATGAGAAAAAATCTTAAGAGGATTTCAACACATACTGTGCTTATGGCTGTTCACTACGTGCCATATGTAATCCTAATTTAATGTGTGTGGAGGCACATTTCTTTAAAAACAGGGATGGAGCTCTGTGTGTCACTTTGAGGGTTTTCAGGATACCAGAATCCCAAAACTTGGATACTATCAAATCCTGTCAAATCGGCCTAAAACACCAATCCTGACAAAAACCCCTAAGACTTATCTGACTGTGAGAGGACGGCCATCAGGTTTCAGAGGACGTGGTTGAGAAGGAGAGAAAGAACACGTAGTCCCTGCAGAAGATACAACCCCACCCTCCTCCTGAAAGGAGTCACTAAGACAAAAGGAGGAAGTTCAATATTAACAATTCCCCTAGGTACACTCACGACCAGCTCATTATAAAGTCAACAGAGCAAACCGTCTTAACATTAGAAAGAGAACAAAGAAATCAGACAGTGACACACAACACGGAGGAACAGGAAATTAAAATGAAGACTCTGAGCAGCTGATAGGCCGTGACTCAGACGCTGCTCTCTTACTGTAAAGCCTCAGACTCCACATGAGTCACACTCCTATCCTGTCATTTAAATGATCTGTCGTCGTCCCACACTGCGCCCCCCCCCCCTCAGGAGACCACAGACTGGGAGCAGTGACCCTGTCAGAGCGGAGCGGTGACATCACACGGCCACGACGGATGACGACTCAGTTTATGGACAGCAGCAGATACGAGGAGAGGATTTAATGAAGACATGAGAAATGAGACAGATTTAATACGATGAGACAAAAGCAGGTCTCCACTCTTGACCAAAAGAGAATCAAACGGTGTTTTTAGAAAAGGTAAACACGGATTCTAGGGATGTTCCCAACGACTACTTCCAGAGATTGAAACAGAATCTAAAAACTCAGATTTGTCAGTTGGTCTTAAAGGCTTAATGTGCGATTTTTCACACTTAAATATAATAGAAATCAAGTATATCCTCTGAAATAACTCTGTGAGTCATGACTGTCTACAATGGGTGTAACACCCGAGTCCCACTGTCTGTGATGCTTTCAGAGTCCTATCTTCAGTTTGTTTACATCACCGCATATAAAGCCTTTAATGTGAGAAAACGTTATAAAATAGCTGCTTTCACATCAGACTCCTGAAAACATCTTGAACATTTCAGGAGACTATTCAGGAGTTTTCTGCAGGTGTGAAACCCCTTACCACGGCTGAAAGGTTATGAAATGTGTTTTTAAACTCGTAATGTAGCCCGATGTGTCTCTGGTTCTGCAGTGTTTGGATTTGGCTCCATAGATTTTAATACTTAAACAACAACAAAGGTAAGTAAATCTGTTGATGATGGACCCAGCTGTGCTGTGGGACGGCACATCCTCCACCGACGGTGATGTGAAGTTGAGCCGCTGTGGTTATTATGTAACTCGGATATAAAGGTCTGCAGCTGATCAGGCTTTAGGGACTCGGGCAGAGACAGAGGGAACATCTGTTTGGATGATTTGGTAGAAGAGGGTCAGAAGTGACGCCAACTGGGTCTCTGATGCACCTCCAACAGTTTGCGTAACGCTCGTCTGATTTCTTACACTGACGACTGAAAGAACAGAAATAAAGTTGTGCCCTACCCCCCACCCCCTTTCCTTATAAGGGCATAAGTGCTGCAGCAGTATAAAATCTAAATACGACACTCGCACGGTGGTGCAGTGGTTATGCACTGTCCCCTCAGCGAGGAGGTTCCTGGTTTGAATCCCCGTCTGACAGGAGCCTCTCTGTGCATGTGTGGGTTCTCTCCGGGTACTCTGGCTTCCTCCCACAGTCCAAACAC